TACTCTGGAGAGATTTCAAAAGGAATCCTTTTTCCTTCATGTTGTCAAGAGAAATACACAAAACATAGTCCAGAACAACTATAAACAGAAAAGGAACAAATGTGCCGCCTTGTAGAACTCTTGCTTTAACTTTAAAGGAATCAGTCTCGCCATCAGGCAATACAATGGTGGCAGTGGTGTTTCTGTACAGAGCTCTAATTGTCTCAACAATTCTGGAGGATATACTATAGTGTTGGAGAATTTTGAACATGAGATCTCTGCCAATGGAATCTAATGCCTTGTGAAAGTCAATAAAACAGATTGTGACCTCTTTGTTTAATTTTTTCATCTCTTCCAGTATACAACAAATGGAGAGGATTTGAGCTGGAGTTTCTAAGACAGTCTGCAGAAATTCAAATTCCAAGTTGAAGTCTGGTGCGGGATAATTCACTTCACAGCTTGAAAGAAGTCTTTAGCCCGGGTAGCAGTCTTTCTAGAGATGGTATCTTGACAAAAACATACGGATGTAGAGTTGGCATTCCACATTTTATATCAGCTACTGAAAGAACTATCATGACATCCACTAACTGCACCAGGGTCCCAGCCCCTGCTTACCCAGTTCCCAATTCAAACCTTGTTCTTCATGAAACAGATCACCTCTCAACTCTTTGAAGCAAGGTAATTGTGAAAGGGGAGATATAGAGCAAACAAAACAGGTTACATTGTTAATCATGAGAGAAGCCTGCTTTGATTTTGAATTAATTATGAACAAAAAAAAAATGGTCAGAGGTCTGCAAGCTCTACCAAAAAATTATACAGTGTAACCCGGATATAAGAGACCCGGATATAAGAGAGATTTTCTCTGGTCCCAAATTAGAGCCTGTGTTAATGTATATAAATTAGACCAAACCCGAATATAAGAGAAACCCGGATATAAGAGAGATTTTCTCTGGTCCCAAATTAGAGCCTGTGTTAATGTATATAAATTAGACCAAACCCGAATATAAGAGACTTCTTCTCCGGTCCCGACAACTCTCTTATATCCGGGTTTCACTGTATATGGATTCATTTTCTTTAAGTTGAGGGTAAAATGTTTTGGACATCATTTGTGCAGCAGGCTGGTTAACTAATGGAAAAGAAGATGGAGACGAAAGATAAAGCAGACAAATGGATATGTACAGTTAAGTTACCAGAGCAGAGAAAAAAGGCAAACTATAGAGAAAGGTCACCATGGCTATTTAGTTTCAAAGGAAGTTAACCATTGGGGATGGTGGGTGGACAATCTGAAAGTGAAATGAAGAAAAAAATAAGGGGAGTTCTAAATAGAGAAAAAGGGAAAAGAGAAAGATCTGCCCAAACTGATATAATAAACTAGGTAGATGAGAATGGACCAATAGAGGTAGAAAGAGACACAAACAGACCAAGCAAGAGACAGACAAAAAGAGACAGGATGGATAGAGAGAAGGGTGGGAGGACCAAGGGAGAAAGGGTGGGAGGACCAAGGGAGAAAGGGTGGGACAAGAGCAGACCAAGAGACAGAGAGACAAGCGCAGACAGAAAGACTGACTGGAAGAAAAGGGGGTGGATCATGAAACAGACAGAAAGAATGACAAGGATGGATCAAGAGACAAAATGACAAGCGGGGATCAAGAGACAGACAGATACACAAACAGAAAGAAAGACAGGCATAAAGGGACTGAGAGAGAGAGACACACATAAACGGATTGATAGAGACTGAGAGAGAGAGAGAGAGAGACACACACACACAAACTGAGAAAGAGACACAGAAAGACACAAATACACACACGAACTGAGAGTGAGAGACACACAAACTAGGAGAGATACGCACACAAATAGAGAGACAGAGAGACACACACACACACACAAACTGAGACACACACACACACAAACTGAGACACACACACACACAAACAGAGAGAGACACAGAAAGACACACACACACACGAAGTGAGAGAGAGAGACACAAACTGGGAGAGATACACACACACAAATAGAGAGACAGAGAGAGAGAGAGACATACAAACTGAGAGAGAGACACACACACACAAATTGAGAGAGAGAGACACATAGAGACAGACACAAACAAACCAAGAAAGACAGACAGACATTTACAAATAGACTGAAAAAGAAAAAACTGAGGTACAAATGGACCAAGAAAGAGAGAGAGGGAGACAGACAGACAAACAGACACACACAAGACAGACAGACACACACGAGAGAGAGAGAGAGAGACAGACACACACACAAGATAGAGGGAGACAGACAGATAGACACACACAAGAGAGAGGGAGACAGACAGACACACACACACAAGAGAGAGGGAGACAGACAGACACACACACACAAGAGAGACAGACAGACACACACACACAAGAGAGACAGACAGACAGCTATAAATGGATTGAGAAAAACAAACCAACAGATACAGAGTGAAGTATAAACTCATATAAAGAAAGAAAGAGAGAAAACTAGATGAATGCTCAATCAAATAGACATGCATAAGTAAAAATTAAAGAAATCTAAACAAACTGAAAGGTAAATATAAAGCAATGTATCAACAGAGAAAAAAAATGTACCGAAACAAAGACGAACAAAAACTATATTAAAAGGTAACTGAAATTTTTCCACTATTTTTTGTTTATATAACTTCAAAAACTTACCTTCAGCCATTTCTTAAAATCGTTTTCTTAATTATTATTTCAAGTTTTTTAATTAAAGGTGATAACTTCAAAAACTCCACTGAGAAATTCTCCACTGCAGTTAACAGCTATAGTCCAGATATCTTCATATATTGGTGCACTTTTTTTCTACTTGTTTTTGAAAAGCTGCCAACATTTCTAATGATGTTGGTTTCTCTTCCAGGCAAGATTAAGCAGTAGCAAGTGAAAGCCAGCCTGCAGTACAACTCTTATTTGGATGCGGAATGCCCTTAATATATTGGTCAGACACACCCATCTTCAGCAGAATGAATGGGAGGGAGAGTTGAATAGTTTTTTGTTTTTTTTTACAGATAAAAGGTGTTTTTGTTTTTAGTTAATGAAAATATCAGTTATGACAGAAATATCGTGGCATTAAAATAATAACAAAAGCTCTTCAAACTTCTAAGAGAAAACAGGAAGTTTTTGAAGTTCGTATTAATATCCTCATCTTTTAAATTTCACAGATATTTTTGTCAGACAACCTAGGCATGACAAAGGCCACAGCTCATCTAGTAAAGACAACAGTTAAAAAGATTTCAGTTTCCATCTCAGCATCAGCATGTCAACCAGAGATGATGATCTCTGTATGTGCTTATAAAATCCATATTTAAGGGATAAAGAAAAAAGAACTTTCAAATTATTGAAACTACTGACAGACACTTGTTTTTTAGCAATTAATTATTTTAATTAGAGGGAAAGAATTCTCCTGTTTATATCCAGAAATGCTGATAATAATTTGTATTTTCTATACACTTATGGCCTGCCACAGAAAATAATTATATTAAGGCACAAAAAGTGGATAAAAAGAATAATTTTTAATTTGGGTTTAAAAAATGACTTGCAGTTTTGAAAATATACACATTTTAAAACTGAGATTAAAACTTACTTTTTTTTTTTTTTTAATATCTGATTTTAGGTGTATTCGCTAGATAGAAATAATTTTATTTGTCAAAAACAAACAATTACACTAAAGACTTGCATATCTGGAAATATACACATCTTAAAAGTGAAATTAAGAACTTCGCCGGCCTTTTTCGCAAGCTCCAGGTTTATGGAATTTCGGGTCGATTATATAACCTAATACAATCATTCCTGTCAAACCGTGAATTGAAGGTCGTTCTCAACGGATTCTCCACCAGTTCCTATCCCACGAATGCAGGTGTTCCTCAAGGCTCCATCCTAGGCCCCACTCTAGTCCTTATCTACATAAATGACCTTCCTGATGCCATAACTTCCTAAGTTGGCATCTACGTGGATGACACCACAATTTATTCCTGCCTCAAAAACAAATCTAGTCTCGCTGACAAAACTTGCCTGGCCGTGTGTCTCGAAAAGGACCTCCAATCGATTGTGAACTGGGGCATGAATTGGCTGGTCAACTTCAACGCTTCTAAGACAAAACTGCTCTCTATTAATCACCACAGAGAGCCTTCCCTTCCCTCCATTAGAATGTCTGACGCTCAACTTCTCGAGAGCAACTCTCTGCGGCTTCTCGGTCTCACGTTGACTGCTGACCTGAGATGGAATAAATACATCGAGTCAATTGCCTTGTCCACTGCAAGGAAAGTTGGCTCCCTGAGCCGCGCTAGGAAGTTTTTCTCCCCGGAGTCGATCATCCAGATCTACAAATCCACAATTCGCCCTTGCATAGAGTATTGCTGCCATATATGGTCTGGCGCCCCTTCTGTTTGCCTCGGGGTTCTTGATAGGCCCAAGAGGCGGATATGCAATGTGGTTGGCCCTGTCCTGGCGTCTCGTCTACAGTCACTTTCTCACAGACGCGCCGTCGCCTCCCTCTGTCTGTTCTACAAATACTTTCATGGAAATTGCTCTGAGTTCCCAGACGTCATGAGTTCCAGCGCCCTACGAGGCTAGCATCCCGCTCTCACCCCTTCACTGTCGAAACTCCTTAATGTAGCCGTCTCTTCTACTTTAATAGCTTCATGTCTCACACCTCTCGCCTGTGGAACTCTCTTCCCTTCTCCTGTTTCCCTGTGAGCTATAATCTCCAGCTATTCAAGTGTAATGTCAATCGACATCTCCAGTTGCCTTGATCTATCCACTACCCTCATCCTTTCTTCTATCACTCCTATCTGATCTTGCTCTAAATTTTCTGTAACCCCTTGCATCCTAGTGGCTTCCCGCCTTGCTTGGGGTGAAATGCTTAAAAAAAAAAAAAAAAAAAATATTCCTAATATCTAATTTAGGTGCATTTCCTAGATAAAAAACAAATTTATTTATAAAAAAAATCTGCCTTCATTTTTCTTGTTTACAACAACTTCATTTCATGATTGGGTACTGGCTCGAAACAATTCAACAAATAGATTTCAGACATCATGTCGTATTTTTTCCTTTTTTTTTTCTGTTTGAAAACATGATTTCCAAGTGTCATCTGTCTAATTTCCTTTTCTTATTCTTCATTTCTTTTGTAAACAAATAGATTTCACATTTATTTCCTAAAACTAGTCAATTAAATGTTTTTAAAATATTTGTTCAATCTTTTTCTCTTACAATGGTATAAATGTTAATTTAATTTTATTAACATTTTTAACTCTTTTTCAATAGTGTTTCTTTCAATATGTTCACTCAGTAGTGATAGCATGAAACTGAACAATTTCGGTTTTGTAAAAAATTTCAATGCCGTTTCATGAAACCAAAAAAAGTTGATGAAACCAAAAAAAGTCTTTTGGTTAAACCACCCATCTCTAATATATATATATATATATATATATATATATATATTAATAATTTCATCTCAGGCAAGGCAATAAAGCCACTAAGATGCAGAGGGGGTTACTGTGTGTGAAAGAATATAAGAAAAGGAAAAACATTAAGGAGAGAGAACAATAAAAGAACAGGAATTAAGAAGACAGAAGATAATGATTCACATCGCAATTGAATTTTTGAAGATGAAACTTGACTGGAAAGCAAGAAGCCAGAAGAGAGTTCAACAAGCGAAAAGTGCTAGCATAGAGTTTATGATTACATCTTGCCAATTCAACTGTAAGATGATGAGACCTAGCTGCCAATCTAGTAGTATGCTTAAATAGATAAAGTGTAGGTACCAAAAAGGAACTCTCACCAAAACAATTACCATGAAAATATTTATAGAAAAGGCATCGGCAAGTGATGTTATGGTCATGGGAAAGTGAATGAAACCAAAATGTCAGGTCATTTTCTTTGATAGAATTTTTAGACCTTAGTATAATATGATAAATTCAAGTATATTTTAAGTTCTTTTAAATTAATTTTTGATAGGAATAATTCAAATATAGGAGTACATTTCTCTTTAAATAATATTTTGTAATTATCAATTAATTTAAGGACTTCTTTTATGTGCCATGTTTTTTCAGGATGTTGGCGATCATGGTTCTCCACAACTTCCTATTTTTGTAGCTTTAAGTAATGTTTTTCTCCTTATTATCCCTCCCAGTCACCCCTTCAGTCATCCATTTATACAAAATTATTAGGTAGGTTTCTGTTTCCTTCTCTCTCTCTCTTTCTCTCTCTCTCTCTTTCTCTCTCTCTCTCTCTCTCTCTCTCTCTCTCTCTCTCTCTCTCTTGCCTTCAATAAGTCTTGTGAGTGTCCAATTCTTGAAGCCAGTTAATATAAAAGATAAATAAGAAAAACATTCAAGCTTTATTCTTATTTTCTAAGACTTATGGCCATATCACGTTGAAACATTGGTTCCCATATGATCATCAAAATTTAGCAACGTTGAACATGGTCAGTACTTAGATGGGTGACTGCTTGGGAATACTTGGATGTGCGAGTGGTGTAATGGATATTGGCTCAGAATTGTTAATTGGAAATCCTAGTTCCAATTCCCGTTGGATTCATTATATTCACTTAGACGCAAATATCATTGGGAAAGCTATAAATCCATCTCTTCTCCCCCCCCCCCCAGCTTTGAGTTAATTAGTAAGACTTGTATTACTAAACCCTTATTATTGAAAAAAAAAAACTTCTTACAATCTAAAAATATTTTCTAGCTTATCAACTTATCTAGGATTATCAACCCTTTGCAGATTATTTAATAACCTGCAAAGGGTTGATAATCCATAAAAAAGGAATCAATCAAATCAGAATTTTAATTAAATTTTATACCCTGCAAAAATATTTTTACAAACATTTTGTATCGCCATTATAATACCCTAAAGATCATGTAAATATGTACTACATAAATCAATGATTGATACCCAAACTAATGGGTTAATTGGAAGGGCTTGATAATACAAAAATAACTACGTTTCTAGCACTTTTATAAAGGACTCCATATGTGTGTGTGTATGTATATATATATATATATATATATATGGGTGACTGCTTGTAAATACCAGGTGCTCTAAGCTTGGATGTGTGGGTGGTGTAATGGATAATGGCTTGGAATTGTTAATCAGAGAACCAAGCTCCTATTCCAGTCAGGTTCATGATATACACTTACATGCAAATACTCTTAGGAATGGTATGACTCCACTTCTTCTCCCTCCAGCAATGGGTTAATTAGTAGAACTTGTATCAGAAAATCATTATTATTTAAAAAAAAAAAATTCTTGTAATCTAAAAATATCTTCCAGATTAAAATAACCTGTAAAGTGCAGATAGGCCATAAAAAACAGAAAAACAAATGCCATTCTTTCCTTGACTATCTGAGTAAGCATATTAGGAGATTGGTTGGTCAAATGATTTCAGTTGGAAATTCAAATACATGTCTTATCAATATGCAGTGTCAAGTTTCTTCATGTTTCAAACTGAAATGTATATGATATTATTGTTATTTACACTATTTATATTGTTTGT